GGAAAGCTAAATGCTTGTAATGAAAGTCACTTAGCGTGTACGGGCGAAAGCTTGGGACCGTTCGGGCTACCGAGCTGTCTCGAATCTGTGAAATCATAACTGTAACATATACCGACGTCCTATCTGTCTCTTTTCTCCGTTATCACCAGGCTATGAGTCACGTAAAAACTACGACGGAAAAAGTGACGAATCGAAAGTATCGTGAGCGCGTATTATAATGTATGCATAGTCATACGCGGACTAGAGAGATGGAGGAAAGAGCAAAGACGAGCGCTTCAAAAGGATAGGCAGGGTCAGATCCTCACATGTGTGCGACGATTCTCGAACGAATAGGTGTGTACGTGTGCTCACATGTGTGCGACGATTCTCGAACGAATAGGTGTGTACGTGTGCTGATCTTTGTAATTATAAATTGTGAATACATGTGACTAATATTATTATTATTTTTTATTTTGTGCATGTTATAAGTTATAAATAAATATAAACAAACAACACTAACCGAACAACATTAAATCTAAATACCAAAATGATTAATTTACTGTGTTTTTGTTATTTCTTATTCCTGTTTTTAGGTATTCGGTATTCGGCCGAATAGCGAAAAATAGGCCGAATACCGAATAGTAATCGAATATTCGTTACATCACTAATATAGAAAGTGTTAATCGTTCCGCAAGTAATGTGTGCTCAATGTGCGCCTTATTGTTTGAATGTAAAATTTGAAGACGATCAACAAGTGACATAAAGCTAAGTTTGTTCGTAATGTATAAAATAACAAATTAAAATGTCACTTTAAGATTATTCTTCGTTATTTACTGAGTTTTCCTGTAAAGGGTCTCGTAGAAGAAGTTTTTGAACTATTTTCTTGTTTTTCAAAATTCTTTTCTGCTTCTTTTGTATGGTCTGTACACAAATTTTGGTGTCAGTTCGCTTACTGTTTACATCTACAGGCTGCACAGAATAGGGACATTTTGACTATGGTCATCCTGTACATTTTAGGATATGGTTATCTTTATAGTTTTTATAAATTATTTTCTTTAAATTAAAAGAAAAAGTAATCAAGAGATTAAATGGTTAATATGTTAGCAATCGATTGTAAATCGAATTACCGATAGTGTCGATAAGTATCGCTATTGCTGGTATCCGAATACTAGTGTCAAGAGTTGCAGCAGAACGTGACATTGCCATAGCGCCCCTTCCAATTCACGAGGTACGTGAACTAACGAGGACCAAATGGTGGAGTCAAAGTAAATTGAATTTGAATCTTTGGTGCAAATATTGAGTGTACAAATTGTAATTGTAATCGTACACTGATATTTTTGTAGTACATAAGCTATGTGGAATCATCTGAAATCCAAGCATACTTTACTGCCAGCTAAAAGTAAAAAAAATACAAGTAAACGAAATGATACCTCCTTCAACTGCTGTTCAAAACCGGATTTGAAAACCGATTATCCGATTTTGGTAAAATCGCGGTTTACCGAAAACAGGTTTCATTGCCGGCATTAGATATGCCATTAAACACTGATAATTAGTCGCGAGTCATGGGTTGGACAAGTGGAATATTCCACGTTTTATTCAAGTGTCTAAAGTCTGTTTCACATTCATCCTTTGCGATATGGTTTCGCATCTCAATCGCAAATTTTCTGCGTAGCAGTCGCTTTACAATCGCGAGAAATCGCAGCCGACTCGAAGACGGACTTCCTACTCCAAACCGTGATTGAAATCTTGTGGATCAGCAAACATTCCAGCCAATCGGAGAACGGTACAATCGTGAATCATTCTGGTAAGATGGCTTCAATAACATACGTAGTTACATTGTCAATCGGCGTGTACTTTAACCTATGGAACACATATAAGTTAGTTGATTGTGAAAGAAAAATGGAAATAAGAACTGAGGGAGAAGTTTTTACCGAAAATTTGTTCCTATTTAGGTGTTAGACAGTTGAAGAAAACCCAGAAGTACTGTACATAGCAAACTAACTGCTAGTGTTCAGTGGTTTTATCCACTAGGCCATCGATGGAGGCCGGATGGCCGAGCGGTCAAGATGGTAGCCTACCGCTCTGGGGGACCCGGGCTCTAACCCGAACGGGTCGAAAAATCCCCAGCATTTTTTTCGGGGTGGTCCGTTTGGATATGTCGGGCCCCATCCCTCACCACCCGGCAGCCCCATTGTGGGTCTGGCCGAACCCATAATGGTCTTGCGAAAAGAGGCCCTCTTAGTGCCCACAGGGCGGAAAGAGTATTAAAAAAAGCCACCGATGGGCTTTATAATTTGGCGCTCGCTTAAAGTCCTATTTCACGAAATATATCGTGAACGTTCAGTGAATGTGGTATACTTTATAATAAATTTATAGATGTTACGGATTGTGAACTATATGAACAGTTCCATCAACATAATCTATTAATGTACTGTACTGTACATCTAAGTACAGCCGAACATCAATATACGTGTAGTTCCTTCCTAAATAACTCCAACTTAGCACAGCTTTAATAAATATTAGTGAACGGGTCTTCCCATAAACGCTTCCCACGAAATGCCGAGTGAATAAACCACAGCACTACTGGTACTCGTGGGTTCATGCCTCGCTAACATTCTTATCACGTGGAGTTTTTTATGTTTTCTTCACATGACTAAAACTTCAGGAATCAGTTTTCCATAAAAATTCTTTCAGGAAACAACACATTCTGCCGTATTCCATTATTACGAACCAATCAAACAATCCCCCATAGAATCAAAGCGGTTAAGGTGGCAGCCTATCGCTCTGGGGAACCGGATCGACCCATTCGGATTTGATCCGGTTCCACTAGCGTAGCGAGGGAAGGTCAAGGGGTCTATCATGTCCTGGACTCCACTCGCAGAGGGGCGCCAAATGGTCTCCATGACAAACAAGATTTGTTTCTGGAGGGGGGAGGGGGAGGGGGCGTCAATAAAGTGTCGTGCCCCGGGCGCCTGTTATGTTCGCTACGCCACTGTCCGTTCACCAGGAACTTTTTGGGTTTTGTGGCGGCCGAATAATTGTAACTTAACGCTGCATCTGAAAATCCAGTTGGCGATATAAGAAAACGAGTGCAGTCCGTCCGCCATATTCCTTTTTCTCTCTCTCTCGGCTACGCTACTCACAAGTGAATGTTCTGTACCGACGCATGCTTGTAACCGATCGAGCATTACTCAATAAGTGTAAAACAAAATCTAGTACATGATTGTAAATAAATTTACATGGTGAGATATAAAGCTTCGGCTATTTTATATAATCAACGAACACTCAAGTTAAATGGTGCATCAACCACCAAAGGTTTTCTGTCCGGATATGTCGGGCCCCGTTCCTTACCACCCGGCCGAACCTTCAATGGGATTTCTGAAAAAAAAAACCCCTCGTAATGCCCAAGGGACGAAATGGATAAAAAACGATAGTGCCATTTATGTAAATGGCAGATTTATGTATTATTTCAAATGCAAACAGTTTGCCTAATACGAAATAAGAACATGTAATTAAATCTGAAGTATAAAACGTCGTAATTCTAAAGTATTTTCATGCTTCCGCTATCGCGTCGCATCGCATTTGTGAGCATTACAATGCATATGAGATTCATCGAAATTCAATTAAAATAATTTTAATTTATTAAAAATATTTTTATTTTTTAAAATGTTGTTTAATTAAATTATTAAGTTTTTTTCATTTAATAAAATAAAAAAAAAACATTATTTCTAAGCATTGACTAAATCTGAATGAGTCCTCATAGTGGCGCTCTAATCGTCCTAGTAAGAATTCAAATTAATTTTTAAAATCTTATATTGTAACATTTTTAATTAATTGTTAGCTGTAAAATTTTAAAATTATTTCTTAATTACTTTATTTATTAAATATTTCACTACAAAAAGTGCATTATAACTTATTCCTGAAAGAAATGTGATTTAAAATTCAAATAAATGTCCGAAGTTTGACCAATCAGAGAGCTCGATGTATAAAGCGATATTCGAGAATTTTCCATGTAGGTCACCATGGAAACAAAATAATAATAGTTTTCCTCTCTCCAATGATGTAATATCATAGGTCAACCAACATCACGTGATTAATTAATCTGTCGTGAACTTAATTAACAATTATAATAAAGTTTTAATTTAAATTTAATACCAGTAATTAATATAAAATTAAGATTTAACAATTATTATAATTTAGATATTATTTTACTTTTATAATACGTAATGATATTTACACCAATGAGGCGCTTAGCTTCATTAGTAATCGATGACGTTGCAGTTTTCTTTTACGTCGGTCGAGTTACATAAATAGAACGTGCGAGCGTTCTTTCGTATCGTGAAGTGTGTGGAAATAGTCTGCTTATAAGGTGAATTCTACGCAAAAATGTCTGGAAGAGGCAAAGGAGGAAAGGGATTAGGAAAAGGAGGCGCAAAGCGACATCGTAAAGTCCTTCGTGACAACATTCAAGGCATCACTAAACCCGCCATTCGTCGTTTAGCCAGACGTGGGGGTGTTAAACGTATCTCCGGTCTTATCTACGAGGAAACTCGTGGCGTGTTGAAAGTCTTTCTGGAGAATGTGATTCGTGATGCTGTGACCTATACAGAACACGCTAAAAGGAAAACTGTGACCGCTATGGATGTTGTGTACGCTTTGAAGAGGCAAGGACGTACTCTTTATGGATTTGGTGGATAAGTGTTTTCTTCTCCTATCCTGGAACATTTTTGGCCGATTTTTTGTAACTAAGAATAAGTATTATGTATATTCAGCATTTTAAATCTTTATAAATTATATGTAGACTTGTGTTTTTTCTTAATCTCTTGCTCAAAATTTCGTAAATAAAAAAATAAATTTTTAAATATTTAAATTTTAGATTCTGTTTTTACTTCTTAAAATATTTCCTTAAATTAATAGAAATGAATAATTCAAATTTGAAAATACAATAAATTTCGCTGAATGGCTTCTTGTTATTGGTTCGCGTTCGTATCACGTGTCCGAAAATCCGCTTACGTCGACATAACGAATCAATTACTCCGTTTAATCCAATCAAACGTTAGAAAATCAAATTACGGCTGGTTATTGGTTAGCGCGCCGGTCACGTGTAGAATTTTCAATCCATTCGCTCTGATATAAATAGAAGAGTCCGTAACTGCGTCATTGAGACGGTAGCAAGAGAAACATGCCTCCACAACCTAGCGGAAAAGCGGTTAAGAAAGCGGGCAAGTCGCAGAAGAACGTTAGGGCCGGCGATAAAAAGAAGAAAAAGAAAAGGAGGAAGGAAAGCTTTGGTATATACATTTACAAGGTGTTAAAGCAAGTGCATCCTGATACTGGAATCTCCAGTAAGGCCATGTCCATCATGAACAGTTTCGTTAATGATATATTCGAGAGAATTGCTGCTGAAGCATCACGTTTGGCTCACTACAATAAAAGGTCTACAATTACCAGTAGAGAGATCCAAACTGCGGTCAGATTACTGTTACCTGGTGAATTGGCTAAGCATGCAGTCTCCGAAGGAACCAAAGCTGTTACTAAATACACTAGTTCTAAGTAAACTGTGTTTGTTTTTTAATTTATGCACCCCTTAAATTCCATTTAGACCGGTTCAACAACCTCCTTGTTGAAGAAATAATGAATTTAATATTATTTATGCTTGTACAAAAATTGTTGACTATATTATAATGTATTATAAAGTATGTTCAGAATAAATGGGTTTTATCTTGTTGAACTGTTTTTGCTGTATCTATGGAGTGTATTCTTTCAACTTATGCAATGGTAATAACCATAAACAGTGTAGTTTAATTAAAAGAGTGGAAAGTAAAGTGTAACTTGCTATATTGCATTTGTAAAACAAACTGGTGAAAAACTTCAATCTTAATTGATTTAATTATTGCTCGTATTGTGGGTTGTCGAATCAGTTCGTATGCTAGTTTGCTAACTGGTAAATTGATTGCTATTTAAATAAGCTTTGTTCCATATTTATCTTTTAAATTGAGTGCAACGAGTGGCATTATCGACACTTACAAATAAGTTTTTTTTATTTACAGGGAAGTTTTCATCTAAAAATGCCAGATTACTACTAATATAGAACTTTTCTTTACACAAATTTTTATTAGTTCAGCTTTGTTGGAAGAACAGTATTAGTGAATTGAAAGTTATATCAATTGTTTTTAAGCATGCTTAAATTTTGATATTTGACATTGATTACTTACTAATTCATTTATCATAATTTGTGGTCAATGAATTATTCCTTATAATTTATTGATAGTATCTCAAAAAGAAATCATTGATTTATTTAGAAACTAGGCATCATCTTGTCCTCTATGTTTAATTAAGACAGAAAATGAAGTTTTATTATAAGAAGGTAAAAGCTGTTGCTCTCTAATTTTACATTTATTTTAAAAAATTGCAGCAAAAATTTATTGCTTTTTTTCCTTCAGTTTCCTACTTTATATAAAGTATATAATAGTTGTAATTTTTATAATTGAAATTCCAAAATTTTAGTATATTCTAAAATAAAAATTATTCTGACCTCAACTATTTAGATACAATTAAAAAAAAAAAAAAGAAATGAAGTTCTTTGAGGACTGAATTATTCCAAAAACATTTCCAATAAATATTGATTACCTTAACATTTTACTTTTGGTTATGAGTTTTTTAAATAAAAATTCACAAAATTTAACATTGTATTAAATTACTAAAGTAATTAGTTCATATGGCCAACATTGCTATTAAATGAAACATTATTGATCAAACATTTGATTATCTGCAGCTTACTATAGTTCAATTAACAGATTAAAATGATGTAGAACATAAATGGCAGAAATTTTTGTTAGAAACATTTGATTAAACTATCCAGAATTAATCATCAAATTAATTACATTTCTGATAGTATTAGAGTTATAGAATGGTCATGCACAAGATCATCATCTGAATTAGTTTTTATTTTCAGTAGGAATTAAATTTGATGGGCATCAGCAAGTATAGAAGATTTATGACTTAACACTGGGATAAAGAGAGAATTTCTCAATTATGTCTTACAACAGTTGAAGAAACAGTATCAAGGATGCTTCATGGTTTCTAACCCTGAATAGAGAGAGATATCCAAAATAATATGAATAATTAAATTTCCATAATATAAAACAGATGAAAAGCATTGTTTTTTTATTAATAAAGAAATATTCTGTCTTAAATATTTTATTTTCTGTCTCAGTAAGGATAGGAACCACTACAGGCCCATAAGTTTTCTCCAGGATAGATAGATAACTTGCAAGCATGGGAATTTTATAGCTACTCCAGGTATATCAATATGTAAGTCTTGTTATATTCATAATAATAAGTTAAATAAAAATGTTTCAATAAGTTTTTATATTTTTTTAAAATTTATTATAGGCCTAAGTAAAGTGTTTTTATTTAAAGATATGGATGAGTGAATCATTATGTAATCTGTTCATGATCCATACATACAAGTTTGATCGGATATGGATTGACCTCATGTTGATAATACAAGGGCAATCTGCCAATTTGGTAACTGCAGGGAAGTGCTTTTCTGTTGGAAACTGGTTCCTATTTAGGTGCAGGGTTTGGAGATTTTTTCCTGGGCCTGGAGAGATCTCAAGCTTGTAGTTGTTCCTATCCCTATAAAATTAATGCTAGTTTTACTAACAGGAAAAATATTTTTAAGATAGAATTCTTATTTATTAATAAAAAAGCAATTTATTTCATTAGTTCAGAAAACGGGAGCACCAGGTTTTATATAAGAAGCTCTCAACATGCTGTTTAGGTTAGACAGATGCAGAAATCCAGAAAAGTAAACAAGGTCCAAGTAGACAATATAGAAACACAAAACACGTGGTCAGCTTATTGGTCATATTTGAACCTGAGATTAACTACAGTATCAGTGTTCTGTGATTTTATATATTTGGCCTCTGGTGAGATCTTCCATTAACAGAATTGCAAGGTAGATGATCTAAAAAAATTACAAAAAATAAAATGTAACCATTTAATAAAGATTCTATTAAAATATAATTAATCATATGCACATAAAATCCAGATTGTTTAGATTACTCTAATTCCAGCTTTGATTAAGATTCAAAAAGGAATATTTTTTCAGATGGTTATGCAGTCAGGGCCATTGAGAGTTTGTATGAGGTCCAAGGTAGAGGACATTTACTCCTCAGCCTTTTTTCCATTTTTTTTTAACAGATGAAAAGCATTGTTTTTTATTAATAAAGAAATATTCTGTCTTAAATATTTTATTTTCTGTCTCAGTAAGGATAGGAACCACTACAGGCCCATAAGTTTTCTCCAGGTCCAAGAAAAAATCCTCAGTTCTTCCCTGTTGACTGTCCTGTGTGCAGTACAGCCTACCTCATTATAGACACACAATGTAAATAATTTTTATCTATACCTGAAATAGATTATGTGTAATGGAACAAAAATCTCTTGCTGTCTTATTTTTAGAATTATTTAGGCATTAAATATGAATGCAGTATTGAATGAAAAAATTGTTCTTTCACTATTGATAATTTAGTAAATTATTTTCCTTTTTTTGCCTGATATTTTAGAGTTAGATTTATCTAACTCAAAAATATCTTGACTTTGTTTTTAACACTTTCTATTCTTTAGACACTAAAATGATGATTTTCAAGACCATTGTAGGTTCAGGCAGGTCCAAAATGGGGGAGCTGGATAGTGAGGAACATAGCCTGACCTTGTTATCAGGGCAAACATCCTATGAAAATAATTCCTGAATTGTTCACCCAGGTTCAATCCTGGGTCTCCAGAGTATAGGCTGAAGCCTTAAGTGCCTCAGTCATCAGGCTGGCAAAAATCTTGATTAATAATACAGTAGAACCTCGAAAACTCAGCCTAATGTGGACCGAAGGGTGGCCGAGTTTGTAAAAATGCCGGGTTATCGGGAATGGGGTTAAAAAAAATAAGTACGAGTGTTTCCTCAGAAAATACTGTACTGTACTTGTATGTATTGTTTACTTGAGAATATAACAGAGAATAAACTGCCCAAATACCCTTAAACAAAGGAAAAGTACGTCCTTTATGAAGGCATAGAGCCTTTACTACATGAAAATGAAAATTAATGAATACACTGTGTACAGTAATTTACCTGATAAGACAGACCTCAGAAAAATACTTTATGAGAGCTTTTATACTTTTATAAAGCTGTCTATAATGAAAATTAATTAACTAAGGATTTTTTTGCCCTGCCAGGGTGTGGTCGAGTTATCCGGAGTGCCGGGTTATCGAGAGCCGAGTTTTCGAGGTTCTACTGTATATGAAATTCCTATGCAGTAAAGTTAAAAGTTAGTTATATGCTTACCTCTATTCTCTCATGTACTTTTAAGTTTAATTTGCCAAGTTGCAGTCACATTTTGCTAGAGATTAGTACAATCTAATGGTAAAATTCAGAATCTTTGCATATTGTGGCAGATAATGTACTTTACTACTTATAAAGCAATTTCTAGTGGTTGCAGGGCATATTTCTATCTTTTCACTCAATTTTCAGCCAGATAATCATATAATCATAAAACTGGAGATTCAATTTGAAGAACTGGAAATCTTACTGGTAACTTCATATCTTTTGTAAACATCATTGTATAAGTATTGTCAGTAACTTTCATACAGATCTTTGTATTGTTGTAAAATGGAGTTGAGAAATTTTGTATTTATTTATATGTATTTTCTTAGCACAATGTTGCTGTTGAGAACATATCACACAGGAACACTTTCAGAGGAAAAAGGTTATTTTATTGGTGTGGACGGATATGCATTTCGGGCTTTATGCCCCTCTTCAGTCCTATTATTACATATTTATCAGTAAATTGATTACAGGTTTACAAATTTACAGAATTCATTGAAAAAATTAGGTTACGTGTACAATGATTTATATAATAAAACTTAATTACCTGAGATAGTGGCAGTTAAACCAAAATGACTCGCAAGATATATACACATAGTTTAAAAAGGGGGAAAAAGGAGCTAATAGTTCTATTGGTTCAATACATATACACATGAGGATAGTATAACATGTGCTAAATAAAATACAAAAAGGGGTTAAAAACAAAATTAAGATTAAGTATATAATAAGAGATGGAATTTTTAAAAATAATGTAGTACCTGTAGGATGTGACATAATTCAGATGAGATGTGCAGAGAACATAGACAAGATGGGAGAGGTTACAAAGAAGTGAGTGAACCTTGTAACATACACTGTAAGGTTGGTGTGACTTGCACAGTGGGGAATGATGAGGGGAGGGTGGTAGAACATCTTAATGTGCTTTGCTACTTAAGAATGGCTGCCAGATGTCATTTATGACTGCACCTGTATTTAAGTTCATTCTGTGTGTTTCTTTAGTTTTAATAATTTCAATATGTTCGTAGAATTTCCTTTTAATAATATTTTTTTCTCTTTTAAGTATTTTGACGCTGTCGAGTGAGATCTTGCAGCCAGTTTGGTTGCAATGAGCGGCAACTGCAGATTGATGTAATTATACTTTATGGCTCTTATATGTTCTTTAATACGGGTTTTTAGTACTCTGCTAGTTTCACCTATGTAATAGTATTTAGGTTGATTTGAGAAATTTTTGATCAACCAAGATTTGAGAAATTTTCTTTCGCAATGCCTCAAAGCAAAGTATCCAATATTGAGACTGCGATTTGACAAACCACATTATGTTGGATTCGCATCAACTCTAAGGTGTGAAATTATAAAAATTATAGATTTTTTGCCCTCGTACATTTTTGTTTTATTCTAGCTACTTATTTAATTTTTACAGAGTACACAGACAAGGAAAAGGTAAATAAAAATAAATATTCTAATTCATGCTCCATTTTACAGAGAATGATCACAAAACTGTATTTGTAAAACTTTATCCTAGGTTTCCTTGTTAGAGAATATTTTAACAGATTTAGTAGATGATAGACTAAATATGGATCTGGTATGATATGACCTTGCAATTTGCTCTGAGGCATTGTGAAAGAGAGAATTTCTCAATTTGCCTTACAAGAGTATAAAAATATAAAACAGTTATTGGAGACGGTTTTAATGACTTCTTGCTGTCAACAAGAAAAATTACAACCAGAAGAATAGAAGAGAAAATTAAAATTAGTGCAGGTAATGGAAGAAAGCATAAACATAGCTTTTCACTGGTTAGCCATTTACAGTTTGTAACTACTCTGAAAATGTATGTTTATAAATTAATTACAAATAAATAAATCACTAATAATTTCAAGAAACTAACTGTTATTAATTATAATAAACATTATTTACTAAAATCTGACATTTTTAGATTACATTCTTATATTTAACACTTCTAAACTATTAAATGTAAACAGTTCTTTAGTAAGTTCAATTACAGAATATAAAAAGAAAAAAGATGGAAAAAGTAGGAAAGTCATTAATCATATTTACTTGTCGATTGTGAGGAAATGTTTTATGTAATTGCTTACTCAATGCTTGTCAGATAGGTGAAATCACTAATATCCATAATACTAATAAAACATTTTAATTTGTTTAATCCCTTCTAATTTCTTGGATAATCATCAGGCAATCACACAGAACTAAATTCAAGATTCAAAAATGATTGTTTTGAATGTAGCAAATATATTTAAAATCATAAAAAAAATTTATATGGTAGCATTTTAAGTTTGATTACCTGAAGACATTGGGTACATTCCAGTATGCATCAAACAACACATTGGTGAACCACAATGTACTAAAGTGTGTTCTGATCTAAACTGATGAGTTCATTAGGACAGTGACTAATGTACTGTACAGTACATAGCACTCATTGGATTGTGGATATGTTCAGCTCTGATGAAATAATATGGCTGCTTTCACAGGTATATTATTAACACCATTTTTGCTACTCATCTGTATTAACCTAAATTTATTTTGACACAATAGTTTGCAAATGCCAAACTAGTACTTCTGCCATCTTTTTAAAATAACAGATGTTTCAGTAAAAACTTATGAAACTGTTCACCGATTNGAATTCAAATTAATTTTTAAAATCTTATATTGTAACATTTTTAATTAATTGTTAGCTGTAAAATTTTAAAATTATTTCTTAATTACTTTATTTATTAAATATTTCACTACAAAAAGTGCATTATAACTTATTCCTGAAAGAAATGTGATTTAAAATTCAAATAAATGTGTGCGAAGTTTGACCAATCAGAGAGCTCGATGTATAAAGCGATATTCGAGAATTTTCCATGTAGGTCACCATGGAAACAAAATAATAATAGTTTTCCTCTCTCCAATGATGTAATATCATAGGTCAACCAACATCACGTGATTAATTAATCTGTCGTGAACTTAATTAACAATTATAATAAAGTTTTAATTTAAATTTAATACCAGTAATTAATATAAAATTAAGATTTAACAATTATTATAATTTAGATATTATTTCACTTTTATAATACGTAATGATATTTACACCAATGAGGCGCTTAGCTTCATTAGTAATCGATGACGTTGCAGTTTTCTTTTACGTCGGTCGAGTTACATAAATAGAACGTGCGAGCGTTCTTTCGTATCGTGAAGTGTGTGGAAATAGTCTGTTTATAAGGTGAATTCTACGCAAAAATGTCTGGAAGAGGCAAAGGAGGAAAGGGATTAGGAAAAGGAGGCGCAAAGCGACATCGTAAAGTCCTTCGTGACAACATTCAAGGCATCACTAAACCCGCCATTCGTCGTTTAGCCAGACGTGGGGGTGTTAAACGTATCTCCGGTCTTATCTACGAGGAAACTCGTGGCGTGTTGAAAGTCTTTCTGGAGAATGTGATTCGTGATGCTGTGACCTATACAGAACACGCTAAAAGGAAAACTGTGACCGCTATGGATGTTGTGTACGCTTTGAAGAGGCAAGGACGTACTCTTTATGGATTTGGTGGATAAGTGTTTTCTTCTCCTATCCTGGAACATTTTTGGCCGATTTTTTGTAACTAAGAATAAGTATTATGTATATTCAGCATTTTAAATCTTTATAAATTATATGTAGACTTGTGTTTTTTCTTAATCTCTTGCTCAAAATTTCGTAAATAAAAAAATAAATTTTTAAATATTTAAATTTTAGATTCTGTTTTTACTTCTTAAAATATTTCCTTAAATTAATAGAAATGAATAATTCAAATTTGAAAATACAATAAATTTCGCTGAATGGCTTCTTGTTATTGGTTCGCGTTCGTATCACGTGTCCGAAAATCCGCTTACGTCGACATAACGAATCAATTACTCCGTTTAATCCAATCAAACGTTAGAAAATCAAATTACGGCTGGTTATTGGTTAGCGCGCCGGTCACGTGTAGAATTTTCAATCCATTCGCTCTGATATAAATAGAAGAGTCCGTAACTGCGTCATTGAGACGGTAGCAAGAGAAACATGCCTCCACAACCTAGCGGAAAAGCGGTTAAGAAAGCGGGCAAGTCGCAGAAGAACGTTAGGGCCGGCGATAAAAAGAAGAAAAAGAAAAGGAGGAAGGAAAGCTTTGGTATATACATTTACAAGGTGTTAAAGCAAGTGCATCCTGATACTGGAATCTCCAGTAAGGCCATGTCCATCATGAACAGTTTCGTTAATGATATATTCGAGAGAATTGCTGCTGAAGCATCACGTTTGGCTCACTACAATAAAAGGTCTACAATTACCAGTAGAGAGATCCAAACTGCGGTCAGATTACTGTTACCTGGTGAATTGGCTAAGCATGCAGTCTCCGAAGGAACCAAAGCTGTTACTAAATACACTAGTTCTAAGTAAATTGTGTTTGTTTTTTAATTTATGCACCCCTTAAATTCCATTTAGACCGGTTCAACAGCCTCCTTGTTGAAGAAATAATGAATTTAATATTTATGCTTGTACAAAAATTGTTGACTATATTATAATGTATTATAAAGTATGTTCAGAATAAATGGGTTTTATCTTGTTGAACTGTTTTTGCTGTATCTATGGAGTGTATTCTTTCAACTTATGCAATGGTAATAACCATAAACAGTGTAGTTTAATTAAAAGAGTGGAAAGTAAAGTGTAACTTGCTATATTGCATTTTTAAAACAAACTGGTGAAAAACTTCAATCTTAATTGATTTAATTATTGCTCGTATTGTGGGTTGTCGAATCAGTTCGTATGCTAGTTTGCTAACTGGTAAATTGATTGCTATTTAAATAAGCTTTGTTCCATATTTATCTTTTAAATTGAGTGCAACGAGTGGCATTATCGACACTTACAAATAAGTTTTTTTTATTTACAGGGAAGTTTTCATCTAAAAATGCCAGATTACTACTAATATAGAACTTTTCTTTACACAAATTTTTATTAGTTCAGCTTTGTTGGAAGAACAGTATTAGTGAATTGAAAGTTATATCAATTGTTTTTAAGCATGCTTAAATTTTGATATTTGACATTGATTACTTACTAATTCATTTATCATAATTTGTGGTCAATGAATTATTCCTTATAATTTATTGATAGTATCTCAAAAAGAAATCATTGATTTATTTAGAAACTAGGCATCATCTTGTCCTCTATGTTTAATTAAGACAGAAAATGAAGTTTTATTATAAGAAGGTAAAAGCTGTTGCTCTCTAATTTTACATTTATTTTAAAAAATTGCAGCAAAAATTTATTGCTTTTTTTCCTTCAGTTTCCTACTTTATATAAAGTATATAATAGTTGTAATTTTTATAATTGAAATTCCAAAATTTTAGTATATTCTAAAATAAAAATTATTCTGACCTCAACTATTTAGATACAATTAAAAAAAAAAAAAAGAAATGAAGTTCTTTGAGGACTGAATTATTCCAAAAACATTTCCAATAAATATTGATTACCTTAACATTTTACTTTTGGTTATGAGTTTTTTAAATAAAAATTCACAAAATTTAACATTGTATTAAATTACTAAAGTAATTAGTTCATATGGCCAACATTGCTATTAAATGAAACATTATTGATCAAACATTTGATTATCTGCAGCTTACTATAGTTCAATTAACAGATTAAAATGATGTAGAACATAAATGGCAGAAATTTTTGTTAGAAACATTTGATTAAACTATCCAGAATTAATCATCAAATTAATTACATTTCTGATAGTATTAGAGTTATAGAATGGTCATGCACAAGATCATCATCTGAATTAGTTTTTATTTTCAGTAGGAATTAAATTTGATGGGCATCAGCAAGTATAGAAGATTTATGACTTAACACTGGGATAAAGAGAGAATTTCTCAATTATGTCTTACAACAGTTGAAGAAACAGTATCAAGGATGCTTCATGGTTTCTAACCCTGAATAGAGAGAGATATCCAAAAGAATATGAATAATTAAATTTCCATAATATAAAACAGATGAAAAGCATTGTTTTTTTATTAATAAAGAAATATTCTGTCTTAAATATTTTATTTTCTGTCTCAGTAAGGATAGGAACCACTACAGGCCCATAAGTTTTCTCCAGGATAGATAGATAACTTGCAAGCATGGGAATTTTATAGCTACTCCAGGTATATCAATATGTAAGTCTTGTTATATTCATAATAATAAGTTAAATAAAAATGTTTCAATAAGTTTTTATATTTTTTTAAAATTTATTATAGGCCTAAGTAAAGTGTTTTTATTTAAAGATATGGATGAGTGAATCATTATGTAATCTGTTCATGATCCATACATACAAGTTTGATCGGATATGGATTGACCTCATGTTGATAATACAAGGGCAATCTGCCAATTTGGTAACTGCAGGGAAGTGCTTTTCTGTTGGAAACTGGTTCCTATTTAGGTGCAGGGTTTGGAGATTTTTTCCTGGGCCTGGAGAGATCTCAAGCTTGTAGTTGTTCCTATCCCTATAAAATTAATGCTAGTTTTACTAACAGGAAAAATATTTTTAAGATAGAATTCTTATTTATTAATAAAAAAGCAATTTATTTCATTAGTTCAGAAAACGGGAGCACCAGGTTTTATATAAGAAGCTCTCAACATGCTGTTTAGGTTAGACAGATGCAGAAATCCAGAAAAGTAAACAAGGTCCAAGTAGACAATATAGAAACACAAAACACGTGGTCAGCTTATTGGTCATATTTGAACCTGAGATTAACTACAGTATCAGTGTTCTGTGATTTTATATATTTGGCCTCTGGTGAGATCTTCCATTAACAGAATTGCAAGGTAGATGATCTAAAAAAATTACAAAAAATAAAATGTAACCATTTAATAAAGATTCTATTAAAATATAATTAATCATATGCACATAAAATCCAGATTGTTTAGATTACTCTAATTCCAGCTTTGATTAAGATTCAAAAAGGAATATTTTTTCAGATGGTTATGCAGTCAGGGCCATTGAGAGTTTGTATGAGGTCCAAGGTAGAGGACATTTACTCCTCAGCCTTTTTTCCATTTTTTTTTAACAGATGAAAAGCATTGTTTTTTATTAATAAAGAAATATTCTGTCTTAAATATTTTATTTTCTGTCTCAGTAAGGATAGGAACCACTACAGGCCCATAAGTTTTCTCCAGGTCCAAGAAAAAATCCTCAGTTCTTCCCTGTTGACTGTCCTGTGTGCAGTACAGCCTACCTCATTATAGACACACAATGTAAATAATTTTTATCTATACCTGAAATAGATTATGTGTAATGGAACAAAAATCTCTTGCTGTCTTATTTTTAGAATTATTTAGGCATTAAATATGAATGCAGTATTGAATGAAAAAATTGTTCTTTCACTATTGATAATTTAGTAAATTATTTTCCTTTTTTTGCCTGATATTTTAGAGTTAGATTTATCTAACTCAAAAATATCTTGACTTTGTTTTTAACACTTTCTATTCTTTAGACACTAAAATGATGATTTTCAAGACCATTGTAGGTTCAGGCAGGTCCAAAATGGGGGAGCTGGATAGTGAGGAACATAGCCTGACCTTGTTATCAGGGCAAACATCCTATGAAAATAATTCCTGAATTGTTCACCCAGGTTCAATCCTGGGTCTCCAGAGTATAGGCTGAAGCCTTAAGTGCCTCAGTCATCAGGCTGGCAAAAATCTTGATTAATAATACAGTAGAACCTCGAAAACTCAGCCTAATGTGGACCGAAGGGTGGCCGAGTTTGTAAAAATGCCGGGTTATCGGGAATGGGGTTAAAAAAAATAAGTACGAGTGTTTCCTCAGAAAATACTGTACTGTACTTGTATGTATTGTTTACTTGAGAATATAACAGAGAATAAACTGCCCAAATACCCTTAAACAAAGGAAAAGTACGTCCTTTATGAAGGCATAGAGCCTTTACTACATGAAAATGAAAATTAATGAATACACTGTGTACAGTAATTTACCTGATAAGACAGACTTCAGAAAAATACTTTATGAGAGCTTTTATACTTTTATAAAGCTGTCTATAATGAAAATTAATTAACTAAGGATTTTTTTGCCCTGCCAGGGTGTGGTCGAGTTATCCGGAGTGCCGGGTTATCGAGAGCCGAGTTTTCGAGGTTCTACTGTATATGAAATTCCTATGCAGTAAAGTTAAAAGTTAGTTATATGCTTACCTCTATTCTCTCATGTACTTTTAAGTTTAATTTGCCAAGTTGCAGTCACATTTTGCTAGAGATTAGTACAATCTAATGGTAAAATTCAGAATCTTTGCATATTGTGGCAGATAATGTACTTTACTACTTATAAAGCAATTTCTAGTGGTTGCAGGGCATATTTCTATCTTTTCACTCAATTTTCAGCCAGATAATCATATAATCATAAAACTGGAGATTCAATTTGAAGAACTGGAAATCTTACTGGTAACTTCATATCTTTTGTAAACATCATTGTATAAGTATTGTCAGTAACTTTCATACAGATCTTTGTATTGTTGTAAAATGGAGTTGAGAAATTTTGTATTTATTTATATGTATTTTCTTAGCACAGTGTTGCTGTTGAGAACATATCACACAGGAACACTTTCAGAGGAAAAAGGTTATTTTATTGGTGTGGACGGATATGCATTTCGGGCTTTATGCCCCTCTTCAGTCCTATTATTACATATTTATCAGTAAATTGATTACAGGTTTACAAATT